GTTAATTCCAGAAGAAAACGGTCAAGAAACTTTCATCGCACCGTCTACCGTTTCTGCAGATAAGGTATTCACTCATGCGTTTTTATGGCCAAAGTAATAGTACTCGTCTTCAGCTGTGTCTGATTCCTGGAAGTGTCTTACAGGGGGCCACTGACCTGCAACCAGCCATGGATTGATGGCACTGAAAGAGCTATGTTCAAATTAGTATCATTGTGGGTTTGTATGCTTCTGTCCAGCTACACTAAACATTGGTCTCTAGCTCATTTGATTGCCGTTGATTCTTGCATATTCTTTCTATAGGAGTGAATACTAACAGTCAGCACCAGGATCTACCAAGACTAGAACTAGAGCAGGACTATCCGATGGAGCCTTTCATCCATGAAAAAGATATGAAGCAGTAGTCGACACTTCTATAAAGTTTTTCATCTTTTGTCTCTAATTTCAATTTGGAATGTTGGAAGCACCATTTGACGCGTCTGCCTCCGAGACCTGAAAGAAAAGCGGTTGTGGAAAATCATGAAGATTTTCTGTAACTTCTTTGACGTATTGGAATGGTCCCTTGCTCATAGTCGTCTAGGATGCCATTTAAACAGGTCACAGCTCCGTGGTTTTTATCACCCGCGGTGCATGGATGCAGAACCGCGTCTGTGTATTGGGTTGAACGAAAACCTCTTCGTACATAAGTGCCATATCCTCCGCGTTTACCCGAAGTATTGAGAGACTTATTCTTACAAACTACATCGAAAACTGGCACGTTGGAAGTATATCCATAATGGCGGGGTTATTTTTACGTATGTAAAGTTTTTATTATTCTTGTTTAATGTTGTTCTCCGGTTTACGAATTTATCAGAAGGATATTGATTAACATGTACGTAAATAATATGAATACTGCTAGTCGATCAGACTTTTTTTTGTATAGTCAGTTCTTGCCGTTAACATATTTTTTCTAGACAGTACATGGTTTTGACCCCTGTTGCGCTTAATGGTTACGGTGAATACTTGAAAGAAAAATGGGTGATGATTATGAACCGGATGAGGAGTAATCTTTTGTTTTTCTTTCAAAATCTTTGTCTAATCCAATTTTCAGGGCGGAGGAACCAGAAGAAGAACAACTTGAAGAATTAGAATTGGATCAAGTAAGAGGTTGAACTTGTTCATGCATGGCTCACTTGTGTGTCATTTATGTGTCATCGTCAGCTGGTCTTTTCTGCTGAATGACGTGACTCTGTGAAGAATACTCTGCATCTTAGTTTCTGAGGGTCTTCAATCTGAACATAATCAGAACTAACTGTAAGTTGGTTTAAAATGCGTTGCAATCGTTTGAAGAGGATGACCTAAGCAGTATGGGTTTCAGATACGTAATAAGCTTTTGCATGGTTACATTGCTTAATTCACAGTTATTGTGCAGTTTCCAGTTTTTGCCCATTTTCAGCGGGTAGATTTAGGAAGAATTCGTTGTTCATTAAGCGATCTTCGTGATAAATGGTTTATTTATACATTAAATTCGAGCAAGAACTTTCAGATTTGTAAAGGCAACGAACCACTACTTCTGATATAGTTAATCTAGTTTCTACTTTGATGGAGTGATATAGTTTCTTATGTTGGTTTGGTTTCAGGAAGACAACGATGACAATGAAAGGCTAGAAGTTCTATCAGGTGGTGACAGAACTGAAAAAAAGTCAACGGGGCCAAGAATTACTACACCGTTTATGACAAAATACGAAAGAGCTAGGATTCTTGGTACTCGAGCGTTGCAGATTGCGTATGTTCATGTGTTTTATATTCCGCTTTTAATCCTTATTGTGGTACTTCGCCCGTTGTAACTTTATTTGTTTAAATGTTCACGAAACCTATTCATTAATACAAATTAAGCACTGATGAAAGTGGCAGCAGGATTAGTTGTTGAACAGTCAAAGTTTTGTTGTGAAGTTGATTGTTCATAGTCTGTATTCCAGTCGTTTGCTATGAGTCTTCGTACATCGAACTGGAGGATAATTTACAACCATGTTTCATCACTGGTGGAAAGTTAAGCGGTTTTATACATGCGGTATGTTTTTCAGCGAGTTTCTTGAGTAAGCCAGATCTCTCATGAGACGTGATGGGAATAGTCAAAGATACGAAAACGAAAGGAAAGTGTTCTCCATTTATTCATAAACAAACAAACTACAGTGCGATATTTTGCATTTCACGACTATCGCGAAAACTTTTTAAAAGTAATTGTGCCTTCAAATTGTCTACTCTTGACGGGCCGCCAAGCGGCAATAATGTAGCGTTTGTAGTAAAATTTAATTTCCATTGAGCTTTCAAAGTTATTTTATGGCGTTCCTTTACCAACGTGGCGATAAAGACGAAGATTGGGTAGGGTGCATTATGCGTAAATTCAAATTAAAAGCAAACATAGGTCTATGCTGTTTAAAGGCACAGCCTTTTCTGTGGCAAAGTTTAATGAACTAGACTTCAGTTTTAACCGATCTGTTTATGCCGTTCAGCTTGCTAATCAGCGAGAGGTGAATTTAAGTCATCAGGTCAGCGCATTTGTTTGAATTGTTTGGATTTGCTGCTTTGTCCGTTAGCTATTGTTACGCTACAACTTTAATATTCGATAAAATTTATGAGTAATTAGAAAGAATTTTTCTACTATATAAACGGCTCTTGGAATTGCTCTAACCCATCCTTTATTAGTTATTCTAAAATATGCGAAGGATGATATAAATGAAACCACGCTCGATACTGCTACATAAATGACAAAAATAGGTCGAAGGACCTAGGAAGTCTAATCTTTTATGAAAACGACATAATTTAGAATTAGATTAATCTCTCCAAGAAGACAGTGACACGAAACAGTTCACTTTTC